CTTAGGGTCCCTGTCAGCTCACACAGCAAAAACGTCAGCACTTAACTGCTTGCACATGTATGTTACTTTTTTACATTTCCCACAATCAACAACAAAGTTATGTTTTGATCGGTCTCAGTGATCTACAAATGATCTAATTTGATTTTTTCTTCACGGTTTTCTTCCAGACACCAAACTGGGCAGGTCAGGAATCTGGATTTTAGCCACACGTGGAAGATGGATCCATCCAACTCATTGTGTTACATCTTTTTTCCACACTTGTATCTCAAGGAGCCCAGTGCTGTTTTGCACTTGGTTCAAGTCATCACCAATTCAATAAAAAGTGACCAACAAAACCATTTTCACCCATGATTGCCTTATTTCTGGACATTACAAATGGCGGTTGAGGTTTGAGTGGTCAGGCTTTTTTGTATCGGTAATACTTGATGAAGTTTTAATGTGCGCATTGAGTCACTGAGTGGGACAGTTAAGACTGCTGCGTGTGATGCAGGCTCATGTGTGCGCAGTAATGATGAATGGCTGTTTAGTCTGTTGGTTTTATGGTGTTTCAGTGGTTCGCTTCACCGTGGCAGGCGGTCTCACTGAGTGGGACGTCAGCTGGAGGGGGCAAACAGAGGTGATGTACAGTTAGCAGTGGTCACACTCTCTGCCAGTCATTCTGCCCATCTGAGGACATGAGAGAGCCATAAAGAACCATTAGCCAGACGGACACAATCTTTTTAATGTCCCAACCCCACCCCCGCTCTTCTCTGCTTTCGACCTTCTCATAACTCAGTCCTCTGACTCTCTGTCCCTCCTTCTTTATCACAAACAGGCTTTCATTCCTTCCCATGTCTCTAATTTGATTCTTCTTACATATAATTTAACTATTAAACAAGGAGTTTATGTGGAAATACACCTGCTTTGTTAGGCTAAATCAAGTCTGGAAAGTGCACCTGTATGTGCACATTAGTAATATTTCAGGCTATGACCAGACTCTAACAGAAATGCTGCATTATTTTGTTTAGACAAGAAGAAAAAGGTCAATCATAGGAGTTGCACGTATTTTCTCTGTTAACTTTTGAGAATGGCCTGAAGAGTTTTCAGCCTTTAAACTGAAGCAACCGACTACAAGATCAATCATTACATCGTAACCAAAGAAAATGTACAAAACAGTGGCCATAAACATCTTTTAAGAGGTAATGAAGCTGCGCTGCTGTATGTCAGTCAGTACTGTTTCACATGCAGGTGGTTTATGCACCTCGTCTGTATCCATGGACAGAGAGCATGATGCTCCAGTCATTCAGCGCTGCTCTGTTTTTGTTAGCATTTGTTCTGTTTTCACCTATAATAAGTCAGAGCTGGCTGCCAACCACTGTGCTCCAAGGTGGGAACTGCGACATGTCTGAACGGTGGAGCTCACTGAATGTGTTTTTAGGAATAACATGCTAATTATCAGTTTTTAAAATATTAAATCTTACCAGCATATTGACATAAAGCCCCTGAAAATTTGGTCTTGGATCTTACATTTGTCTTTAACATTACTCATAACTATAGTAAATAAACAGTCAGAGTCTAAGTTCAGACAAAAGTCAAGTTAAATGCATTGATTCATTATCTTATTAATAGTTAAACAGTCAAAAACTATTTTTCTCTTGCTTGGTTTAATCAGAATCCTACAACAATTTAGTTAAAAAATATTTCTAAATTATTATTGGTACACCAGGGTTTGTGACATCACATTTTTCGTACAAAGCCCCGCCCACTTCAAACCACAAAAACTTAAAAACTGAAATCTCTGATGAAATAACCAAAACTGTTATAACTTTGACAGAACTCTTTGTGTTCAACCCTGTGGCTTACAGCAGGAACTGATAAAGTAAATCAGGGAGCATAATATGTAATTATGAATTAAGACATTATGTCTTCATCCATAATCTCAGAATACTTCACCCACAAATCATTTCTTTCTTTAATATATCAGTTACTCACCCCATGTGACATTGAATTTGTGAAGAAAACTGGATTTCTCACATGCCTTTATGTGAATGAAGAATCCAAAAACCAAAAATTCTTGATAAATTGGAGTGAATAGAGGGGATAACATTCAACAACAGCAAAACATTCGTTTACAAACTCTTTCATCATGCATAAAAGTAGTGTGCCTATGCAAGTGGGATTGAACTCTGCACAAAGTTCAAAGGCAAGCACATGCCCAGGCATGCTTCTCATCCGTGTGTGACACTGTTTGTGCCAAAGTGTTTTAAATAGCAAGGTTTTAGCGAAAATGTATGTATATTTGGGAAGTACTGAGCATACGACTGGACTTGGATTATACTGCACGAGTTGTGTGAGAGTTTGTACATTTTTTAGTGTAGTTTTGCTGTTGTTAAAAGCAGCCCTCCTTACTTCAGTTCATCAAGTATATTCTCCGTTTTTGGATTCTTCATTCACTGTGGATGCATGTGAGGGAAACAAAGTTTTCTTCTCAAATTCAACATAACACAGGTGAGTAATTGATAATTTTTTAGGTTGCTGTTTTCAAGCTGACTTACAGCCTCTGTGTTCTGTAACAGAGCAAAAACTACAAACTTTTTAAAGCCTTTTCTCAAGCCTACAGGGGTTGAGAGTGGCATATTCCAAAGAAAAATTGTGGATGGACTTTAATATGTTGTTTTGATTATCAGACGTTTGGGGTTCATAGATGGTTCTTCACCAGCAGTTCACAGTCTCACCTGAAGGTCAGTTTTTCCAACTCCCGGAGCTTTTGACCACATCACCTAATCTTCAACAACAGATGTTGTCTTGGAACTGCAGATATTTATATTTCCATATATTTTTTCAATTCAAGCTCCAGAGCAGCCTCTAAATGGACCTTGAGGTGAGATACTTTTGTCAACCAGACTTCTGGTGACACTAAAGTTGTATTTGTACATGTGGGCTGTACCGTTACTGCTTTGTTTGTGAATGTCATGTTAGATTATTTCTGGACACTTTGGAAGCCACAGACACAGAAGGGTGCTAAGTATAACTTGAACTTTCCCACTTTGCCTCATTCTCATCCCCTGCTTGACATTTTCGCGACTTCCACATGACCACTGTGGCCTGGAACATTTTTTTCCTTTTTCTTTTTTCTTTTACCTTGTAAACTGTGACACCAGCCCACGCTTAAGACCATCGCAGTCTGGATGTGTGATGGACAGGGTGTACAGCAGCTCCCCTCATTGCTGTTATGGCACTGAGGGCTCGGAGCCAGACCATCCAAATGCTGACGTCACCTCCACTTATGTGCACTGCAACTGAGTAGGAGGGAGGGAGGAGAGGGAAAGGAGAGGAGGGATGGGGAGAATAAAGTGATTGGTTTACCGGCCCCCTTCTCCATGACACATCATGAAAATAAAAGTGCCGGAGGCCTAAATTATCACATTCACCTTAACCGTGCACTCTCAGATGTTGTTTTAGAGCGGAATCCAAACCAAAGGCACTGCCTGTGGCTAACAGCCCTCCTGACCACAATGTCTGTCACTGCTCTCTGGATAAATAAATAAACAAAGTCAGGACAAAGGTCACTATAGGTTTTGGCAAGGAAACCACCACGATTCCTCCTCTCTTTTTTTTTTCTTTACATATTGTTAGAGGTTTTCCCCCACACATACTTTTTTCAATCAGCTCCAGTGACAAAATGGAAACTTGCACTTGTGTGTATAAGTGAGTGTATGTTTAACTGCCTGAAGGTAGAAATATATATTTTTCACCACTTTCTGTGGTGTTTAAAGTGTGAAACCAGCATGGAAATTAAGTTTTTGAATATTAGGATTGGAGGTCAGTGAGGGCACCACACTTAAGGTGAAAAATATATTTTTTATAGTATTTTTTTCACTGAAAATGTGTTATAATTTTTTATCAACACACATTATCATTATATTTTCTTGTCTAATAAAAGGCTTTTTGTTGGTTCCACGGTAGTTGTACTGATGCAGACTGTCTGCCATGGACAATATAACTCTCCCATGTAAATAATTTCCTGAAATAAAAGATTAAGTGCCACACCTAGTGGCTGAAGGGGGTAGAGCATTCACAACTTGTATTGCAATCAGGATGGAGAGCAGTTGTTGAAGAAGGTGATAAAATCACAGAAATGCCTTATTTAGTTGCTCACATGTACACATGACTACAGTTTGACTCCTTTCCCAGGAGCCTCTGTCACAAATTTCCACAGTCCCCACTGTCTCATCTCTGATTTGTAACTGACGAGCAGCCAGCGTTTGAATGTCACCGTGTCGTGGATGCTTGCCAGCCCTCTCATGTCTCCCCCCTCCACAAGGTAAGTTGCTTCTGACTGAAGGACAATCTTTGTCTCCACTGACCATCTCACATGTCTCAGCTGATGAGGTCGCGTGGGTCAGTGTGAGAGGCCCGAGTCTGGAAAACCCTGAATTTATTGAATGATTTATTCATGTCCCACAATTACAGCCTCCCCGACGATTATCATTAATTTGAGAGGAGGGGGTGGGGATGGGGAGGCAGCGTGGTCCTGGGTGCGCAATAAAAGAGGCGTGACGAGATGGTTGACTTGTGGGCCCACATCATTACGCACATTATGTAGATAATTGCTTTTTTGGGGGGTGAACCTCTAATTATTCAATAGGGCTATCGTCAGCGGAAGAAAGCTGAACCGAGATGGTTAGATTGACTGTGTCGCAATTACTCTGTTCATTTTCTTTTAAATCTTCAGCTGAGACTCTTTGATTTGAAACTTATAGGAAGACATTCATATAAAAGCAGTAAAATCGTGTAAGAAAGTGGGATCCCTGCTGAATTTTAAAGCAATATTCTGGATGTTGAAATAACCAACAATAAAGTTACTCCTGCCCGCCGCAGACAAGCTGCAATCCCATATCCCCTAAAATAAACTACATGAACTTTTTTTTTTTTCCTGCGGGATGTTTCCTTTCCAGCTTTTTGCGCTCACTAGGACCCAGAGGCAACCTCGCACCGGCCAGTGTGGGTGAGTGCGCGCGGAGGGGGGGAGGCTGAGGTGGGGGGAGACTACACTAAATGTCATCTTCAACATCTTAAATAAGAAGGAAACACAAAACTAGAAATCTCCACACGTGACAGCGGCACGGCGCTATATGAGGAAAAAGGCAGCAAGCATCAGGACCAGTCTGGAGTCAGCCACCGCTCAACCTCAGCAGCCAGCGCGCAAAACGCACACTCACTCGCCGGCTCTCGTTTTCCGTTTTAAAGAAAGCAACACATGTGAGTTTTGTTTGTGCTGCGCTACAGGACGCGGACCGGACGAGCGCGAGTGAGGAACCGCAGGTAAACGGAATCCAACGCTTTTCACAAGAGAAGAGAGGAAAGGAAATCCCCCCTTTTCACCGCGACCACCTTTTTTCCTCCTCCTCGGACCTCTGTTCTCTTCTGGAGACACAAGTTTCTCACACAAAGAGGGATGCTGCATGTTCCCGAGCCGCACTTGCACTCAGAGGGAACCTAAAAGTGGACCGGAGCGGGATAACACTTCATTTGATGCAAGGTATACACCGACACCATATTTCACGGAGCGTCTTGGCGACTATTACGCACGGCTGCGCTTATTTTTTTGGAAGGGGCGTTTGAGCAGCACGCATTGCATCTTTGATTGTTCCAACACATTAACACATAGAAGATCAGTTCATTTTTTAATCCCCCTCTTATCACCCCACGCATCATTGTTTAGGAAGGTGTTGATTTCATTACACTGTTATCACAGTAACCTCCTTTTGTCATTCTCCCCGCAGCGCACCAAAGCGGACACTTTTAGTGACTGGAGGATCAGCGCGCTTCATAAAATGATCCCAATCGGCGGCGTGATAACATGTCGCATCCCGTCTGATGTTTGACACATTTGAGGATCGACTAAAGAAACTGGAGGAGGACATTACAAAGTCAGAGAATTCATCCCGAGCCCCGCTGGCACCTTTTTACTGGAGTCCGAACAACAGATCGCCGTCCAGATGCAGTTTCGACTCTTCTCCTTTGCCCTGATCGTATTGAACTGTATGGAGTACAGCAACTGTCAGGCGCCGTCGCACCGCTGGAGGAGAAACAAAAGAGGTAAAACGGGGTTGTAGCCTGGAGCAGCATCCAGGGGGTGACTTTAACAGATGGCGAAAGAGTTTGGGTAGGTCACGGGAGGCAACGGCAACAGTCCTAAACAAGGTTGCTCACACGTTTTGTTGAATGTCCGCGTGTGCGCACAGAGGAGGCGGAAAGTCCGAACAGTAGCCTATGACATGAAATACTGATGACTATCTGTGCTTGGCTTCTAAAGTGCACAGGTGAGGGTTCCCGATTTAAAACAGACGTAATTCAGAAACATTCCAGAAATTCAAACTGAAAGATTCAAGTCATGCATCTGATAAAATTTATTACCCTGTTAAAATAAGATTTTCCACATTATGTAACGATTTCAGAGCCGGTAGCTAATGCGTAAAATGTGCGCAAAATTGGCCACGCGTGTGGCTGTCCAAAATTAATATGAAACCGCGGTTGGACTGGCTAATTATGTTTAACACCTGGCTGTCAGACGGACTATTAACGCTACTTCCCGATGTTGTGCCTCCAACAAAGAGCTCCATATATTATTTACACGTGAAACTGCTAAAAAGCTGCTGGTGCGGGTCGGTCTATAGGGAGCTGGCGGCTTATGGGGGTCGTATTGTTGGGAGTTATTTAATGAATAGATACGGAATCCCCTTCCCCTGACTTATGAATTGCACATCTCCACTCCAGCCCCCTAAGCTGGTTTTAATTGATCTCATAACCACTTTGAACAGTTGGTAGGAAACCCGCATAACAATCGCTCAGCGGAGGCGCGGGAGTCGAGGAGGGGATCAGCCCCTTTGTAAATACTACTCTATACTCTGAATGAATGAGGAGACAGTGGGATTAGTAAAGTGGCCCCCGCCGAGCCCTCCTCAGACCTGTGACATAACACATCGCCAAGACCCTCAGGGGTGACCATAAGAGGAGGAGGAGAATTACGCACGGGGAGCATGTCGCCGACTTTTGGGCAGCGACGGCACAGTACGGCAGTACAGTAGAAAGACTAAAGTCAGGAGAGAGGGGGTCTTGTAAATTGTAAGGCAATCACAGATTTAATCATATGCGCTGCGTGCCAGGGGGAACCTCCACACTCTGCAAGCCCTCCACTGCCCATCTGCAAATAATCAGGCAATCACTGCGGGGTACTGGCACACACACGTTTCTCAGCTCCTCTGTGTGTTTCTTTCTCTGAGGACTGTGTGATCTGAGATAGTATATATCCAGTAGAATGTAATTTTTATAGTATGATCAATGTTTTTCTGGAGCTGCTTAAACCTGGAGGGCATTTTGGACGGTCAAGCAGCAAAGCCAGTCTTTACATTTGTCTCTAGTTTATCTGTGTGGTGTCTGTGTGAGAGAGAAAGAGGGGAAGAGAGAGACAGAAAGGGAGAGAGGGGAGTGGTGGAGGGTGGGCTAACCAATGTGGATGAGATCAAGAGGTTAACTTACACATTTGACCTCAAGAACAGCTTTAGGCTGAACACTATAAGCTACACAATGTTATCCCAGCCCTCAGAGCGGAAGTTACACTTGTCAAACTAATCCCATGCAAATATGTACTGGTTTTGCCCTTACAGTATTGTTGAAAGTGTGTGTGTGTGTGTGTGTGTGTTTTTTTTTTTGGGGGGGGGGGGCACTTTGCACAGCACTTTGGGCCAAAAGTGCCATTCTAGCAAGTGTTGGCAGCCGGCCAAGTGTTCGGTATTTGCTTCCTTCCTTTATTTATCACGGTTATATTGAAAGAAGCATGTGTAAGAGATCATTGTCCAATAGGCCCAGAAATGCTTGAATATTTTTCTAGCCCTCAAGGTTCCTGTGACAGCTTTATACACAGCCTGTCTGGCATGAAAAGGGAGCTATCCAAACCGTTCAGGAGTGTTGAGACCCAGACACGTTAGAACCTCAATTTGGGCCACACTCGGCTCGCCCAGGTGTAACTGTTTTATGGCTAACAAAACACATCCTGCATAATTTCACTTTTTTTGTTGTTGTTTTTTTTTCCATGCATAAGAAAAAGTTTTGCCATTGATACACCGTGCACATGTAGCCACATGAGCAAGTGAGGTGTAAAAAAGGATGGAGATGCCATTATAATTAGGGGATGTCAAGGAGAAAACAGTCATTGCGTATGACTCGAGCCCGCTAAAATGTATGAGTAGAGGCAAGATTGGGATCTTTGTGTGGTTTCTGGGCTGATCTTGTCTTACTCACTCGCTGCATGGCATGACCCAACCTCCCATTTGGCTGCGGCAATTGTGCATATACATTTTTTTCCTCATGTAAAACAGATGACAAAACATATTAAATTTACACCTCCTTACCCCCTATCCTGCCCCACTAGAAACAAGGAAATGATGCCAATGAGCCCTCCTATGATATCATAGCTAGACACAAGGGTATTACTTTTCATTTTTATTCTCTGGCTAATGATGCCACCTGCTGACTACATAAAATCAGGCTGGAGTACCAATGCTGCCTGAAGGAACAGAGCCACACAGTGGGGCCCTTAGACGTTTAAACAGGTAATGAATAGGTAATAGTGCCCAAGAGTGGTGAAAAGTTGCCATGTGATACTATTAACCCTTCCACGTCTTGCCCAGACATCTGAATTCCCAGCAGGCCGCAGCGTGTCTCAGATCATATTCGACTGTGTAATCTGTTACTCTAACAGCGTTCCCAGATGTTTTGAAGGACAAAAGTGATTGGATGAAACTAATGCAGCCTAGCAGGGCGGGAGGAGTGAGGTCAGAGATGCATGACATTTTGTACCGCTCATGACAGTCAGCAACAAGGGTGTGTGTGGCGGCTTTTTGATGCCAAAGCTCACAGAAAATAATAATGATTTGTGGCTGACTATTCTTTCAACAATGAATCCCATAAAAAGAGTGTGGGAACTTGATACTCTTTCACACTTGTGAGTTGACTTTGTGGTTTGTTGATAATATAGAAAAAAAAAAGACTGGATGATTTTGTACATTTGTAGTCAAATGCAGTTTCTGGCTGTATAAGTTATAGAATTATAGCATCTCTGAGTGCAGATAAGTAATTCAAACAAAGTGGCCTCTCTTTCTAAGCTCTGGAAATCAGGCCTCAGTGTGCTGAAAGCTCACACAAAGTCCCAGGTTTGTGGGTGTAAGTGTTAATGTTGGAACCCGGTACTTCGGCGCAATATAATACATTGATTAAGTGCCTAACGGGGAGGAGAGGGAACGCTCCAAGAGGCTGCTTTTAAACCAGCCTTGCCACTCTTGGAAAAGGTGGAAAAAAAGCCCCGCAGATGGCACGTCTGTTAACAAGGCTTTCTCACATGATGCCACTCTAATCCAGGTGATGTGAGCCTTTTATTTATTCAATTAAACAGAAGGAGTTTGTTTATTTTACTCATCACTCGAAGGAAATGCTGAAAAGTGATCTGAGGTTTGACAGGATGGAGGAGGTTGCGCCGGTTGAGAAGAGGTGGGGGCTTTTCAGGGGATGAGGAAGGCATATTTAAGCAGATCAGCTGGAAACGGCTGAATGTGAACAGCATCACCTGAGAGGGATTACAGCGAGCCGAGTCTTGACCTGAGCCTGAGCTCCGGCGTCAAGGAACAGAGCTCTGTCTTTTCTCTCCCAGGCCCCATCAGCCAAGCTTCCATAAGTGTAAATCTGAGTGTGTATGTGCTCAAAACGTGTGTGTGTCTGTGAGAAAAAGAGCACAGGGAGATACACGGACACCCTGCAGGTGCATGTTCCCGATGCTCTAATGAAGACATCAAGTCCAGAACAGCCACCCTCACCCACCCCCAACTCCTCCACCAATCACGTCCACGGTCTGTCTTGGGGATTATCATGGCCATTAAGGACAATGATTCACTTATGTGCTGTATTGATAAATCACATTAGTCTGACCCAGCCTCCGAACTCTGTCGAAAGACTAGCTCCTTGTTTGACCTACTAACCCATGCATGTCGATCCTGGCCTGTAGCGCAGCTCCTGCTCCGAGTCACAGCAGTATCAGATGAAGCCGGTGAAAGGCTCCTCAGTGCGCTCATGCCATGCTACACTGCCGAAAAACCCCAGCAGAGGAAAAAACATGCAGTGGCATGAACTTTCTACTGGAGAGAGAGACACAGGGTGAGATTCTTTTGGGTACCACGTGACAAAGCGGGGATGATCTGTTTCACTTTTTCTTTGTTTTCCCCTCAGAAAAAAAAACTATTCTCCTGTCTTTCCTGTGTCTGAAGAACTCAATTAACCTAATGAATTTAATTGGCTAAATGATCCTTTATCCCACGTTTTTAAGTAGCAGGTTTGTGGATTGAACAAGGCAAGGAAGTGAGAGATCAGATTCATACTCATCTATCAACTCTTTGGGTGTTGCTCCATGTTTCAGTATTTCACATGGATGAGAAAGCTTGTTTTGTAACACTTCTTTGCACTTCCATCTATCACATCACAGTGAAGACACATTCATTGTGAGCAGATTTGGTCCCGCCTTTTCCTTTCTTTTTCTGGGGGAATACACGGGGGGATCTTCTCTTCCACCCTCAATCACTGTCATCAGAGGATCCCATGTGCTGGCAAAACTAAATGCCAAACAGATGGTTTTATTTCAGGCTACATTTTACCACACTGTAAAACTTCACTTTTTCGGAAATGTGAAATAAAATGAACGCATTATATAAAATCTCATAATACACTCCATATTTCCTCATGGTGATTGGAAACTCCCGAGCAGCAGACAAAAACCGCAGTGTCCCTCCAGAGTGCGAGGGCGATTTTGTAACCCTCACCTATGCCCGTTCCCTCAATTGCGCACTCCCCTGAAGCAATTACACCTTAATACGTTTCCTTATAAAGCTACTAAATATGACCAGCCAATTTGGTCCGATTCTCTCAAGTTTATTGGGCCATAAAAATTCTAATGTGGGAATCATTTCTGAGTGCCACACATAAAACAACAACACAAAAGGAGCATTTTTTGAAAAAATGACTCATACAAGTTCTTCACAGGTAGGAGAGCTGCC